GCCCTAGGGACAACTACACACCAAACCACTCAGACCAAGTGCACACGCCTAGCTACCTAGTAACCATCCACCCACAGGCAACCGTGACTATTAATAGAACAGCTATTAATAGAACAGCCCCAACCCATGCATACCAGGAACTGGTCGAACCTGTCATCATCCAGCCCTTGATCAATGGTGATGAACATCAGCCGCGACAGGCACGTGTAAAACAGCGTCCGGGTCTTCACAAACTGCGGGTGGCCCATGGCCAGGAAGGGGAACTCTTTGGGCGAGTGGTTGACGAGTAGGTACTGGATGCTGGGCAGCTTCAGCAGCAGGCGCACCGTAGTGTAGCCCATGCTGAGCTCGTTGAGAAGATTGAGCGTTTGGGAAATGAGCCCGGGAGTGTCGGCCCAGAGGGTCAGGTTGGTGATTCTGCAGGGATGGAGGGGATAGGGTTTTAGGTGTTTAGGGTTTAGGGTGTAGGGTGTAGGGTTCCGCTCGAAGGAGAAGCGGAGGGGGAAGGCGAGGACGGGATGAGAGGCTATGTACGTGGCTGGCTAGATGCGTATGGTTATGTTACCGACATCTGCATGTGTATATGAATAAACATGCACTCGAGTGCTATATATATACGTTGATCCATGCATCCGCATACACACCAATACGGTCCTTGTGGTTAATGCCACACATGTGCAGAGTGATTGTCAGCTACACACCATCACATGTGCGTCTATCTCGGATACAAGTATACGCATTTTGAATACTGCCCTACTCAAATCTCGACCCAATGTGTTGTAGGAGGTTATTATAGTATTCATGTTATTCCTGGATGTACAAAGTATGTATGTGCAAAGCGAAGCACAGATAGGTCACCGGAAAATCGAACCATATATCTACAAAGGATGTATGTGTTAAGTAAAGCACAGATAGGTAACCCGCAAATTGAGCCATGTATGTACAAAGTACGTACGTGCCAAGCGAAGCACAGATAGGTAACCGGCAAAATGAACCATGTATGTACAAAGTATGTAATTGTAAAGCGCAGCACAGATAGGTAAATCGCAAATCGAACCATTGTATGTACAAAGTATATATGTGTAAAGCGAAGCACAGATAGGTAACCGGCAAAAAGAACCATGTATGTACAAAGTATGTAATTGTAAAGCGAAGCACAGATAGGTAACCCGCAAATCGAACCTCATGGAACTTACATTTTCTGTACAAAGACTTCCAGGATTTCCATCTGATCGTTCAGGCCCAGCCGTTCGGCCAGATGCACGAAGATCTGCGATGAGATCAAAGAAGAAAAACCAGGGGAGAAAAAAAAACAGGTTTATGTGTAGAGGGCAGGGGGTGATGGGCTTCAAGGGCGGTTGACGTAAAGGCAATGGGCTTTTATAGTTTATACACAAAGTGCTTCCAAAAACTCACACGCAGACAACACTACCTACGCACAGACCTGCACTCGAACGACACACGCTGCAAAGGGAAGACAGCTCACTACCAAGCCACCCCCGCTACTACTGTTGAACGTACGTGTGTAGGCGAACATCCAGATGACACCCCACCGGCTGAACAGTTGTCTCAGGGGAATCAGAGACCCAGGCACAGGACAGTCACGTGTATATATATATATGCACAGACACGCACAACAGGACGCACACAGGTACACGCGATACAGGCTACATGCCAGGGAAGCGACTTATTCTCGGTTATATAGTAATACAAACACAGGTACACGTCTATCGAACAGCACACACACACACACACACACACACACACACTACACACACACACACATGTATAC